GACTAAAAGCAATATTGTTTTGATACATCATTTCAATGTGTCTGCTCAGATTATTTTTGTTTTTTATAGAAACACATAACTATGCTATTCCAATTTTGTCCATTCTAAAAACAACAAAAGGTCTGTGAACCACCTTTGAAGTACTTCCAGAATCCAGGCCTAAACACTGTTATATGAACTTCTTTAATTACCTACCATTAACATGTGTGGAATGTCTAAGTAAATTTGGAGAATTATGTATTTGTCTACCAGTGGCCACTAAAAATCTGACTAGTTTTTTTTCAAAGGCTACCAAGTAACATCTAATAGATATTAATCCATTTGTGTCAGTAAGTTGAAGCAAAGGTCAAGTGCCAACATGGCTTTGTGCATTTCACAACACCTGGGATAAAGCCACTGTTTATGATGAGTTAATAATCAGCAAGTTGTTCCAGTTCATTGATTTCTGTTTCCCTGAAGAGAACAACCTGACAGAGGTCAGCTGCTGGTGCAGACATGGGCGCGCAATTGATATCACCTGTTTGAAATTGTTGTGAAATTAGTTTCACTTTAAGGTAATGTCAGGTAAAGCTTCAAAGCTTTAATGTTCTTGAAGGTGAGATCTTTTGCAAAGCTGTTTATACATCACTTTTATCTTGGTGTACCTTATAAACAGGCAGTGTCTGCATAGTTTTTCTTCTGTTTTTTTTTCTAAGTTGCAGCCTTTTCAGGGACACACATACACAATGTTTACTTTGTACTGTCCAGATGTTTAACATAAAGCAGTTTAAAGACAAGGGCAACAGAATTTTGATCCAGCATATTTAGACAGCTGCAAGACCAGGTTTGTGAGTACAGTGCTCTTATGAAACATAATCTGAACATTAGTGCTGAGCTGTTTCCATATGGAAGAGCAGACTCTGTGGACTGCAACACAAAATCAATTTTATGGTGGACTCTGCCCACAAAAAATGCTTCGCTTAGCTGAAAATGTTTATCTGTCTGAAACTTTTGCTCCAGATTTTTACTTAAAATCTGTGGTGCTGGAAGACAGACTTTGACTTCTCTGTAAATACAGAGCATATCAACGTCTGCCAAAAATAGAGATACCTAAACCAAAGTGTATTTGCTCAGCGGTGGAACTCAGCTTCGGTTGATTAGGGAAAGATCCCAAGAGTTTGGGACTTTATTTAAAAAATTAGATTTTACTAACATTCATATTGTAACACAGTGATACTTAACATGAAAGACAAATCATAACACATTGTAAATGGTAGATCTGTGTTAAATGGATTAAACCAATTTTTCCCAAACAAGTAAAAGTTCCATCTTTCAAAAAGGTATAAATCTAACTACCTAAACTAAAACTTAACTCAAATGTCTTTGAATGCCCTGTCAGGTGTGAGTGTTTTTTTTTTTTAGCTAAGACAACAAAACTTTTCAAAGTCAAATTAGGGAGAAAATAAAACCATAATAAGACTTGTTGATTTGCTACCGGTGAATCAAAGAAAAAAAAAAAACTGATGAATGATCATCCGATCAGGACCAATGTTCACATTGCCAAATACAAATAAAGTGGCTAGATAACATTTGGTTCATTTAACTCCTGCTGACCAGAGCCAGAGGAAATGGTAAAATATACTCTCTTGATCATGGTAGTCTTAATGACAATGCACAAATCTGTGTTTTTCTTGTAGCTGTCAAAGACAAAGAACCAGTATTTTTTTGATATAATCTGCTATATAAACTGCATATGGACTGTGCTGACAAAGAGTTCTGTTATATTAATAACAATATCATGAACTGTTATGATGTATGGGTTTCTTTAATTCTCCATGACAGCGCCATATGAAAGCACTTCTTTTCAGTCTTTTCTTACTAATGCAAGGTATGACTTTACAAATACTTTCTTCAGCATTGATTCTGTCATTTCTGATCACGTTTTGTTTTGTTCTAATTGACTGACAAGCATCTTTCTTTGCAGCATGTGGGCCACTTCTGGCCCAAATAGAGCCCACAAAAGAACCTGACTCACCAGGACTGCTGCAGAAGCTGGCAGAGAGGGTCAGGTATTTCAGAAAAAAAAAACCTGTTGACCACTGAATGCAGTTCATTCACAAGTTCAGACTAGAACTCTTTGTAAATGATCAGTAAATTATCAGAATTGTTAAAATATTTAGTTTGATTTCACTTATTGTGTCAAAAAGTTTGCACAATAACATATTTATTTGTGTATTATATGTACTTTGCTGCTTTTATCTCACAGGGCAGCCAAAAATAAAATCCTGGTGCTTGGGGAACTAACACAAGGCTTTGCTGGTGCTTATTATGAAGACCACATTCAACCGGTGACTGACAGCTATGTTAAATGGGCCTCTGGTGTCAAAAGCTCAGTGTGGGAGAGGATTCAAACTACCATCGGCCACTACACACCGTTTAACACAACTCGAGTTGATTAACTCACTTAACGAGAAGCTGAGAGTAAATCAGTATTCTTACTAAACGTCATGGCTTCACTGCTGAAGTGATCCTAATTTAATGTTTATCATTAGGCTTGTACTAATGTATGATGCATAAAAAAAATCAAATGAGTTGTTAATAAATATCCTTACAACATATCTGTTTGCCTCTGCTGCAGGTTTTAGAGTTTTTGTATTTGTTTGGTTGTTATTAAACAAAGAGCACACCAACTGAATCCGATTAACCAACATTTTGGTTTTGGTTTTAATCGAAGCTGAAAAGCTTGTCTTCTTGATTACGTGAGTACAAGTCACACACAGGTGCATTAATCGACAAGTAAAACAAATCTCAAGCATTAAATGGATGCATGTGGATATGTGAAAAATAAGGTTAAAAAGAAAAAGAAAACAGTGAGATGAAGATATACAGAGGAGAAACCGTTTTAAAACACTATTGAAAAGGGAACTGATCACATTGCTGGCAGAGTATTAGGGTGAAAGGTGAGGGCAGAATGCCCAGCAGCCATTGCTCAGTACAATGCGTTGGGTTGCGTTCTGAATGATTGACCTGTTGACCATTTGACACCAATATCTGAGTACATACTATAAAATCTGCTGTTAAAAAAGTGCTGATCATCAAGAGCCGATACAGTTAACATTATCTTTTGTCATAACAGATACAGACACACGAGCTGCTTTAGTTTTTTCTATAAAATGAGGTGTAATTGTTATGACTTTCTGCAAACACGCAACTTCCACAGTGCCACAGTGCATCCTGCCATATGGATAAGGATAAACGTACATTTCAGAAAGATTACATAACAACTAAGCCATATTTCCACATTCTGCATTTAAAGAATGTCACGTACACTGGACTTTGTGTAGGTGTATGCGTGTGTGTGTTTGCGTGCATGTGCATGCAAGCATGTGTGTGTATGCTCATCAGATGACGTTTGTTTGCAGTCCCCCCCTATATCTTCCTGTCCAGATGTGCGCTCTGAGTTACAGACAACTCGGTTTGAGAGAAGACTGTCACTTCTTGGATCTGTGCATCCAACGCAACAGCAGGTAATCCCTTTTTCTTCCTGCAGCTGCCCTTGCAGCTTCTCTTCTGCAACTACAGAGTAGATTTCACTAAAACAGCTTTTCGTGAAATATTTAGGAAATGCAGTTTTGCTTTAAATGTTAGCAATTTAATCACCTTGTTCATGATCTTCAGTTGTTAAAATATGAAAACAATTCAATAAGTTGAAATGTGAATTTCATTTGCTTTTTCGTCTTTTGTCTTTCAGAAATGAATGCAAAATATGTTTTTGCACTGATCTTGGTGCTGCAGGGTAAGTCACCCTGTAAACCTTAAATGTTCTGTAACAGTAAAGATTCAGTCAGGCTTTTGAGCAAATTGAGTTTGATGTGACTGTTTTTAATCATGTTTGATTGGCCCAGTCTAACATGCTTTTATTGCACTCAGGGATTTAATGAACACTGTGTCATGGATGAATATTGCACGTATTTATATGTAGCTGACATGCAACACAAGGGCTTAATTTTATAATACAGTGAGCTGCTGTAGCAGAAAAATTTCAAATTTAAATACTGACCAAGGAAATCTGATACTGAGAGTGAGGTGCCAAGACATGTGGGACAGTTTTTATTTGGCTTTTAAACAACATTTACACACTAACCACCTAAACAGTTGAGTGAAATTTCCCAATGCAACAATTAATCTTTTTTGTTGTCTCTTTTTAACATGTGTATACATCAGTAATTATTGAATTTACTTGCAACTGTTTTAATAGTACTAGTTCTCATCTCTCTCTCTAAAAATCTCAACTCTGTTGCCTTCCAGTCTCTATGAGCCTGTGTGCACTTCCCGAACCATCGCCAGAAATGGTTGAGTTATATAACACCCACAAAGCCACATTCATGAAGAGACTGATGAATTTTTACAACAAGGTGCACGCTGCTGCCACTCCCGTTGTGGAGGGCATACGTGACAATGAGCGTTCACAGGATGCCAGGGAATTTGCTGAAAATCTGCAGAGCAAGCCTGAGTACCAAGCCTTTGTGAAAGTTGCCACGTAAGTTTTCACCTATAACTATCCTAGTAACGCCTAATGTTTCACAGGCGGCTCCAAAAGAAAATAAACCTTTGTAAGTTGCTAATGTCATTACTTGAAACATAATTTGCTATTAGATGCTACTTAATTAATGTTTAGATTTCACAATTTCAGCACAAACACATACAGACAGTTTTTATGGTTTTGTTGATTTATTTGGTAAATTCTTCAATCATGGATACTTTTAAAATCATCCATTTTTCCTCTTTTCATCAGTGCTATCGGTCAGGAAGCAATTCCCTTAGTGGACAAGGCTCGTACAGCAGCACTGGGTGTCTATGAATACTACCTGCGCCCCCACATTGGCATCACCCTGGGCAGGGGCATTGACCACGCTAAATCAGTCCTGGACGAAGTCCTGCCTGCTGAGTAAAGAAGACCAGCTGGAGCAAACTGCCTCTCAGCAGCCCTTGTTAGATGATAGGTCATAGTAACTACACCGGAGAAGAAGAATACAAATACAATTCTTTGCCTCTTTTAAATCAAAATACTTGTCCAATCATGCAGAGTTAAAACCATGAAAAACATGTCAACACCACATATGCAAATTGTGCATGTACAGTATTTTATGTTTGAAACACTAACCAGAGTTTGTGTGTGACTGTGTATGTAATGTGGGCGTGTTCAATAAAATTAAGTGAAAACTCTGTGAAATATGTTTCTTCATATACACTCAGATCCTCTCCTGTTATGATACGAGGAAAAAGTTCTAGTCTTTGATAATTCTGTTATTTCCTAATCTTCTGATGTATCTTTTAAAGTATGTATAGAGTTTTTTCATACATTTCATACTTTTAATTATGAAGAAAACACATTATTTATTACAACATAAATTTAAAAAGAAAACTCAATTAAACACCATGGGTTTATTTTTTACTCACTGTGGTTTTGCAGTGAGCTGTCCCCTTGATAAAACTGGAAATATAATGAAAAGGTGGTGCTTTAAACACAAGCTAATAATATCATTAATACCCTGAAATAAGTCAAACTCTGTCCCCTGAACAGTGAATTTGTATAATCCCATATGAAAACCTTTTTTAGTGACAGAAATACTGAAAACACATTATTAATGTGTGTTTTGTATCTTTACATAAATTAATTGTTAACCTAAAATTACTGAAGAGAACTGTACAATAATCTCAGACATTTTTATTTGAATTAACTTTCCATAATTTGAATATTAATGCAGGTTTCCTGTTGAATAGCACTTTGCAAGAACATGTGGAATATCTGCCTTATTCTACTCATATGAGCAGCAAACAAATACTCTTCCTGCATTCACAACAGCAGAAATCACTGATTGAATTTATAATGCAATAATACACCAATGTTATTTTCAGCTACAGCAATAACCATGCCGAGATGAGCCATCACAGCGTTTATTCAGTTGGATTGAATCAAAAGTGCAAATTCTCAAACTGTTTGAACCCCACTGCTGCCCACAGCTGCACTCAACTGACCTGAGTTCTTGGGGTCGCACACAACATGACATGTGAGACTGGAACACATTGGATTGAATGTTTACTTAGGCCTCCATCAACATGTAGACATCGCAGGGGAAAGCACTTAGCTCCAACAAATAAAAGAGATAAATCAGTTTTTTTTGTCACATTAACAATTATTCCCAGCACAAACTGAAATGTTTTTAAACCAGTCTCCTCGTGAATTCTGTCAAATTCTGTCTTCTCCAAAAAGAGATCTAAACATCTCACAAATTCAATATTTTGTAGGTCAGAATTTTATTTGAAATTGTTTCCTCATAAAATTGTTTTTACTCTGGCTAAAAAACAAACAAAAAAAAGCACATGCTTGATATTGACAAAGCTGTCTGGACTCTGAATTCTGTTCACCAAATGTTCACCCATGGCAAGCAAGAAACTGTCACTTATTACCCAGAGCCAAAATATTTACTTTAATATATAACCACAGCCTCAAGGCTAAAAAGACAGATTTTGTCTCAAGAATGAATATTATAATTATGTTATAATTATTAGGGAAAATAGGAAATAAAGAGCACGTGAGGACAAAACAACATAACATGAACAGCCAGCTTTAGACTTGTATTTTCATTTCAAATTGAAAAGAATCAAGACGGGGATTCAATGTTTTCCGCTTGTAACTGTGACCAAACTTCTCCTTTCCTGAAGGTTTTTGAATAGACAAGTGGAAAGAGATTGTTTTTGTTCTTAAAAAACTAACTAACTAACTAAATAAATTCTTAAGAGTTTTCAATGCAACACCATATAATCATTAATGTGGCTGTTTCATAACCAGAATCAGTGTGGGTGACGTGTTCAGCACCCTTTAGACTTTGGACCATTTTAAAAGGACTTGGGACTGTTGCAGTGTGTTATGAATGACTGAGTCTTGTTATACAAATCTAAAGTGCCTCCTTATGTAGACTGTGAACAACACAAGGAGTAACAGCCTGCTGATACTGACCTTATCAATGGAAAAGAATTGACTGGGCCACATTTATTTGTCAGTATTCTTCCACAATGCTGTTTTCAGTCTATACTATTAAAGTCACTCCTGACCACAGCTGTGCTACCACTGTTACAAGTACCTTGTCATGCTTTATTCACTATCCTTGTATTTGCATTATCCCAATATCTGCTTTATCAAGACACAATGGTGAACCACTCCAAAAAAAAAAACGCACAGCTGACAGCAGTCCAGGTTTATCTCCCACAGAGTGCACTTTGGCTCTGAGAGCAACAAGTCACCACTTTTACACTCCTATATAAACAGGCTGGGCCGGCACTACCTCTTACGTTGTTTTCTTTTCACAGTCACTTCTGCAGAGGAATAGAGTGAGTACCAACACTTTTGATTCATTTACTGAGCAGTTTTAAAATAGACGCATGCTGTTTCACTGTGTATGAGAAAAAGCCGAAAGATGACCTAACCGTTTGGGAGATTTGGGGAGATCTTCTGTGTTTTAATGTTAGAAGTGGACTAAAACAACATATATGCACAGTTAATATAACAAACACATCGGCTGGATGAGTGGGTAAATCTTGGACAATGTCTCACCCTAGTGGATGGAAAGAAGGGAGCTTCAAATGTTTTTTTTCCCTCTACATTCACAGATCCAAGGACCATGAATAAGCTGCTGGTCATCACTGTGCTTGTTGCACTTTTTGCACTCAGTAAGTTTGTCCTCAGAGAGTAAAACCAACAACACAAATATATAATATACCAGGAGGTTTTTATGAATCAGTGATAATAAAACTTTAAGCTTTTCAATCCTAACCTGTTTGTAACATAAGCGAGATCTCTACAGAGTAATAATGAGCACATTCAGTTCAAGAAAATGGATACAAACCAGATGACTAAATGATATGATTTTGTTTTTCATTTTGGTTAAAACTGAAATTCACATCACATATTCTGATATAGAAAAGCTATTGAATGCATTGACATACCATCTTTAGCGGGAAATGAAGTTTTGTTTTAAGTGAAGACATTAGGGTGAAAGACTTTTCTTCTTCTCTGTCTTTTTTTGCCTCTCGTGTCTTTAACCCTCTAACTAACGTGGCCTGTTTTTGCATAGGTGCTGAAAGCTTCCGTGTGCCAAGGCAGGTTGATGAGGAAGAGCAAGGGACCATCACAAAAATAACAGATACTGTCAAGTCCTACTATGCAGGTGCGGTCAACACTGCCAGTGATTACCTGGAACAGATCAAAGGCCTGAAGCTGGAGGAGAAGGCAAAGTAAGACATTTTGATATTAAGATGAATTCAAAAAAATGTTCAAATTTAATCTATAACTGCTCTCATTCTGTGTTTTTACCACAGGAATCTTTACACTGAAACTTCCAACATTATGAGCACCTATCTTGGCATTGCACATGACCAGCTTTACCATATTTTTCACCATTAATAGTGAAAAAAAAGTTATCCAATGACCTCCACAACGTTACATGGTTGTGTAAGGACTTTCAACCTAAACAAGAAAGGTTCAGAATTCATTTTACATTCTGTCCTTGGCGATACTCTCCCCACACGCAAGTGTCAAACTCTCTAACACAATGGACGAGGTGCATTTTGTAGCACTTTCTCAATCCACTGCATTGGAGGTAAATAATGATAACCACCCAATGGGGACTTTAGTCCTTTGAAAAACAACTAAGAGCTTGGAATGAGAAAATGGACATGAGAATTTGGCAAGCACAAGAAAGGGAGCATTTTAAGATCTGCTACCACCTGCTGATATGCTTGTTTCCTCACAGTACCATGGCATCTCTGAATAAATTTCAGTGTTTGTTATATCT